TTTCTAATGAAGCTTAGAGATGATAAATTCACTGCCTATAGGAGATCAAGGTGTGAGCAGAAATGACCCCATGTTATATGAAACTTTTTTCTTCTTTTAACTGCTCTAACACCCATTTAAATGATGACTATCATAACGTTTACACCCTGTATAGTGTGCCGCACAGAGCGTAGTTATAGTTTGAGTATTTTATCGACTAGGTTGTCTCATTTAATTTGAATTATGGCTAGTTTTTAAATTTGACATATTAGTACATCCGCGTGCATTCACGATGAGGTACACTTAAAACTTTGCACCTGTGCGTCAAACTATCAATCCCAAGGAAAAGATTACAGATTGTTGGAAGTTTTCAATGGTTTAAATTATCATTTAGCGATTTTCATCGTAACACGAGTTAGAAAGCGAATGTTATTAAAAAATTGGTTCCCGGTCACAATTGTAAGCGGAAAACCATAACGAAACTCTGAAGAAGCACATCGAATTGATACTTGCGATCTACGAAATACTCTTTCTTACTGTATGTTTCGAAAACTTAGGGCAAAAATGCACAGGGTGATTCCTTCGACTAACCTAGGGCCATTTTGCTCTTTGACAGCTTTCAAACTTTCGGAGATTGCATTTTATTATTAGAAAAAATTACAACCAAAGTGTATGATTCTAACTAGAATAAAAGGCCCCAGTCGTCTCCTCATACAGTGATGGACTCTTAAAGCGCTCTACAAATTTTGTTGAGTGACAACGATCAGATATCCGATATCTCTGACTTATTACATTTTTCACTGTCTCAGGGTGAAGTATTAATTTTATGACACAACAGGGGTGGAGGCTCAAGTTTAAAGATGGAGCACAACATAAGTGAGGTCCTGGATCTATCCAAGGATATCTCCATGACTGTTATAAGCTCCGTGATGAATTCGAAGAATGCCACAACCCTTTCCTTTGTAAGGTTTTGACGAAGAAATTGAAGCTGTACATTATAGAGATGAACAGTTTTAACTAGATCAGTGCTCATTGAATCTGATTACACTGATCAACAGCCAAAAAATATCCTAAATAAAATCAACAAAATATTACTATCTTTAATGTGCTAAAACCGGAATGAAACTTATTTTTTCAATATTAGTTCAAGTTTTAGAGATACGGTAATTATATGTGTTCCTGCTGTGACAGTGGTAATATACTGTAATTCACAAGAATGCACGTGCTACATGTTTATATTCGGCAAGGAAAGATGATGTAATCGGCATGATTGTGTTACGTTATACATACGTGTACATTATATTGTTTTATATTAGGCATTTTTTCCTCAATTGGCTGACAGCGTTCATGCAAGATGTCTCGAAAGTGTGTAAACAATCCAGATCAGTTTTGTTACGTGTGTGGTGATGTGACTTTTGCGTCTCAGAGACGGTCTATTACTCCACTAATAACAAAGGCATATCAGCTTTATTTCGGCTGTAAACTAGGTGATCAAGACAAACAGTGGGCACCCCACATCTGCTGTAATACATAATACATGTGCTTCAAGTCTGAGGAGCTGGTTAAATTTTAAAAAACGGTCTATGCGCTTAGCTGTCCCAATGGTTTGGAGAGAGCCTACAAATCATATTAATGATTGTTACTTTTGCATGGTACCTTGTGTTGGACAAGCCACAGGTATGTCCAAGAAAAAAAAATCGGTTATTAACTACCCAAACATACCATCTGCGATGAGACCTGTGCCTCACAGTGACGAAAATCCTATTCCAAAACCCCCAGAATCCTACACTTGCGAATCAGGAAACGAATCAGATCATGGCGATCGAGTGATTCGTCAGGAAGAAGATATGCCATCAACGTCAAGAGATCCTTATTTTATACCGAGCACGTCAGGCCACCAACCGCACAAAATAACACAGTCAGAATTAGATGATCTTATAAGAGATTTAGAACTTCCAACATGTAAGGCAGAGTCACTTGGATCAAGACTGCAGCAGTGGAACTTGTTAGAAGACGATGTTTCGGTATGTGTTTTTCGTAAACGCCACAAAGACTTAGAACCATTTTTCAATATGGAGAATAACTTGGTTTTCTGCAGTAACATTAACGGCTTACTGGCGGCTTTAAATATAAACTATAACCCAGAAGAATGGAGATTGTTTATAGAGTATGCAGTTCGCATGAAAGAATCATATGACAATATGAAGTACCTATTGACATGCATAAAATACGATGAGCACCAATGGCACATTTGTGGCGATTTGAAAGTTGTTGCACTTTTACTTGGGCTGCAGCTAGGCTACACAAAGTTTTGCTGTTTTTTGTGTGAATGGGACAGTCGGGCAAAGGCACTTCATTACACCAGACAAAACTGGCCTGTTTGTCAATTCCTAGAGCCAGGTCAAAAAAATGTACAGCATATGCCATTAGTAGATTCGAACAAAAATTTATTACCACCACTGCATATCAAGTTGGGCGTAATGAAAAACTTTGTCAAGGCATTAAATAGAGATGGGTCAGCTTTTCAATACCTGCGTCAGAAATTTACAAGACTAAGTGAGGCAAAGGTTAAAGAAGGTATTTTTGTTGGGCCACAGTTTAGAAATATTTTGAAAGATACACAGTTTGAAAACACTTTAACGGGTATTGAATTTCCGTCTGGTGATCACTAATTTCTTGGGAAATAGAAAAGCTGACAACTATAAAACCCTTGTCAAAAATATGCTGTCATCGTATCAAAAGATGGGCTGTAATATGTCTCTTAAGATACATTTCCTACACTCACACCTGGACTTTTTTCCTGACCATTGCGGAGCCGTAAGTGATGAGCACGGCGAACGTTTTCATCAGGATATTTCAACAATGGAAAAAAGGTACCAGGGAAAGTGGAATCCTTCCATGCTTGCAGACTACTGTTGGACTCTTGGTAGAGATGCTCCAGAAACGATCCATTAAAGAACAGCAAAAAGACAGCGCATATAGTGATTCTTATAAGTATATGAATCTTGTTACTTTTTTTAACATATAATTAAAAATAAAAAGTTTTTTTGTAAACCGCAACTATTTTTTTTATTTCATTGTCATTTTTGGATTCAGCGCCCCAAAATTAACAAAGTGCACTTTTCCCACAAGATACAATTAAAAAACTGAAATTTGTTGTCCAGTGTTATTACTGATGACAAAAAGCCCCTTTATGCAAACTTCCATCATATAGCCTCTCAGGAAAGCGGTTCAGATGGATGTCTCTGGCCGCAAGACATCTATCGTAATTGACGCGTTCTGCTCTTCATTCCATAGTGCCAATGCGGGTGTTCCCCAGAGATCGGAATTAGAGACCACACTGTTCCCCTTAAGCATCAACGACCTCCTTTCCTGTACGATCAATCTGATCCACAGATTTGCAGGAGCTCAGAACGACAAGCCGATCACTGTCGATGAGCTGGAAAAGAGAAGACTTCCTCTTTGACGAGAGACCTGGAGGTTATCACGGCCTGGGGACGCAACAATCTTGAACACAGTACTGTACTAAGGTACAAAAAGCATCCTAGTGCTCATCTGCTATGAGGCAATCTACCCCAGGAGGCTCTTCCCAAGAAAGTTTCTTTAAGCCCCTCGTAGAGGCCCCGGTGCGTTTAGGCTTTTGCCTGAAGAGACAAATGCTATTGTGGAAAGTCTTGCTTGCTTGTTTCTCTGATTCCGAAATCTTCAAACGGTAGATACACTATATATACTAAGTGGCATATAAATCCGAACACCCAGTTTAAATGGTTTTATTTTAATAAAATTCTGTATAAGTACTTAATGAAGCATAATAAGTAAATGATAAAAATTTCAAAATGATTGCACTGCTTTAAAGCCCTTTGACCTTTAATAATGTGTGGATGCACCCTGATATGCTACGCATTCTCCAACGCGCGTAGGCATGCTTCTGATCAGGTGGTTAATGTCCTCCTGTGGTATCTCATTCCAGGAAACCACCAACTCCTCTCGAAGTGCTTATAGAGTCTGAGGAGGACGTTGCAAATTGAGCAATCTCCTACCCATCATATCCCACACGTGCTCAATTGCGGATAAGTCGGGAGATCTTGGTGGCCATGGTAACAATGTGACATCATTATGTTGAAAGAAGTCTATTGTGACTCTTGCAACATGTGGTCGGGCATTATCTTGTTGGAAAGTTGGATCTGCCAGGGTGTGAAGATAGGGTAAAAGATGGGGTTCTAGAACTTCGTGGATATAACACTGCGCGTTCATGTTACCTCTGATGAAGATTAAAGGTGACCTGGAACCATAAGCTATAGCACCCCAAACCATAACTCCAACAGTGTGATGAACATGTCTTTCGACAAAAAACTGTGGATTCCTCCTTTCACCACGTCGCCTTCTAACCCTGGCACGACCATCGTGCATGCCTAAACAAAATCGAGACTCGTCACTAAAGACAATACTGCTCCATTCCTGATCCCAGAGTGACCGTTGTCTGCACCACTCAAGGCGATTACGTCGGTGTTCTCGAGTTAAAGGGAGGACCCAGTGTGGCCGGCTCTTTGCGTACGGCCTTCTCGAAGCCATGCCTGACAACACCTAACCACAGTCTCTACACTTCTTTGCACTCTAACTGCAATTGCCCGAAAAGAAAGTCCAGCTTCCCGAAGTCCCACTATACGGCCCCTATCAAACTCACAAAGTTGACGAAATCGTACAGGTCTCCCCGTGCTCTAGGCATCGTAACCGATCGTAAAGGATGGCAAGAACCAAAATCCGCCAACGTTGATTCTTTACTGCGGCTGAAATATTCATTTTTAGAGCGTTAATGAATTAAAAAAAAGCAGTATAAAAACTGGAATGTCCAACTGATAAGGCTGAAAATTTTTTCACTTGTTATTTAAGATAAATACATTCACCAACTTTTATTAAAATAAAACCATTTAAACTGGGTGTTCGGATTTATATGTCACTTAGTATATCTCTAGGGCTTTACGCCCATGAGACAACATAACCTATCGCCATACGAATTTTAGTATATATAAAAATGTTTCCAGACAGCTCCACCGTTGCTAAGAACCAGCAGGATTGACTACCACGACGTCGTTCTAACAGGACAGGAAAGGATAAAGCTAACATCTGCCTGGACTCCCATAACCGTTATGCTGATCAATGTCGTCACCACCTACATCTGTTACACGTTCGGAAAGTTCGCCTGTAAGATCATGGTCCAGATGGTTTGTTTTGCCTTCCCGATCAACCTAACCGTACCAGTGCTTATAACAGCACTCATATCAGTAGTTGGCAACTATTATGAAGATGTATGTGCCTATGCTGATCTCATGCCGAGGTATCTATTCTTCAACATACCGATGCCGATGACCAAGGTTTGTTTAGTGTCTCCATGTAGTTCGGAACCCAGGGAAGCTGAATAGACTAGGAGATCAAAATTCTTGATCCGGATTGCAATGAACCAACGAGAAGCCAACTTTCTGATACTGGATCTAGTGGATGAGATCGATCTTGACTAAAATATTTCACAAACTAGCAAAAAAATATACGATTTGTAATCCAAATATTAAGTCAAGAAAATCTCTACGAATCACCTCGTTTAGCTATAAAATATCTTTTTATTTTCTACAATCAACTGACAAATCCACCTTCTGTTGGTTTAACAAAATGCAAAGAATGTAAAACATTTTTGGAACGAAAGGCGTTGTAAGGTTATTATTATCAGATTTATAAGATGTGTTCCGAATACAGGTACACTTAACTAAAATCTGTAAAGCTCTATTTGGCTTCCCCTGATATAGAAGTATTTCTGTCATTACATGTCTAACGACCTGCACTAGGTAGGAGACTTTCTGTTCCAAGAGCATGCCTGGATATGGTTGATGTGGCTGCTGTCACAAACCTGGATCACGATCCACATTTGGTTCAACGAAAACCGAAGATTGTCCAGAACAGAGGTGTTGTTCTTCAAGCCCTTGTATGATGCTTTCTTCATCGATCAGTCGCTGGCTATGAATCGAAGGAGGATTACAGTGGACGAAAAGCATGAAGAAATTACTATTGATAACGAGGCCGTGGTGAAGGTGTATGCCTGTGGTACTATGTGGCATGAGGAAAAAGACGAGATGGTTATGTTCTTGAAATCAATTTTGAGGATGGACGAGGACCAGTGTGCTCTGAGGATGTGCAAGGAATTCCATAAAGAAGCACCACCAGAGTACTACGAATTTGAAGGTACAAATTGTATATTTGCGTTCCACGAACATTTTAAACTAGTCATCTGGGAGAGGTTTTTGAAACTGATATCTTTGTAGATTTAATAATCATCATGCAAGCAAAAGCTATAGGCGAAGCTACACAGAAGAATTACCCCCAAAGGTAGCAAAATCTAGATCAATCCAAATTGAGGTATATTTTGTCAATTCGCTATAACCAGATTTTCATATCAATGGGTCGCCCCCAGAGGCACTAGCCTCAAAAAGGTGTGCCTTCGAAAATATTTTTTAGGGGCGCAGATTTGCTCAAAAAACTGAATTGCTAGACATAACCGTGCTTTTTTATATATTTGCGGAAAGTATATGTAGAGGAAAAATGTTTATTCATATTTTTTTTCGAATCTTTGGTAAAGCAATGACGAATCAAAAATTCACTTTATATCAGAACTAGCTTGCGTTTTTTAGATCCCAAGACAAAAATCATTAATGTTTGCACGGAGAATATTCCAAAAAGGCGCATTTTCACGGCTTTTTCTTCAATTTTAAACGTAGGATAGAAATTATAATTTGTTTCCCAAAAATTACAAAAACAGTAAAAGCCTTTCCTTTTCGCAACTTTTTGACATGTTCTGTCAGAAAAAACAGTACGTAGCTGCTCTTACGTTCTTTTCAGTTCCGATATCAAAATATTGATTCCTTATTCGAAAGAGAAACCGATTTTTTAAAGTGTGTGAGCAGCTCCTATATACAGGGTGTCCCAGAAGTCGACGTCAAGCCGAAACCGGGTGATAGGCACAGTCATAACAGCTATCAGAAAAATATTAAAAAAAAATTAATGTATGTGTTTAGAAAATTATAGGTCTTTGAAAAAAATATAGAAATTTCACACCCTACGGCAGTCTGTCAACTCCTGATACTACAAATATTAACTTTTTTTGATTTTATTTTTACAATGTAATGATGAATAATGCATCTTCAAACTGGTGTCTCAACCTTACTGCCAACTTTTCTCGTTCAGGAAAAATTGCCACTTATTTCGCAACCAAGTATTCCAAAGTAAAACTTTGCTCAACTTTAACTGGCTGTACTGGAAAAAATGTACTACGAGAGTTTGGAAAGTAACGTTAAAGGTTGGCGCATTTAATAAGGATCCCAAAATGGTATAACACTTAGAAGATTACTCGTTAACTTATGCACAATTTTTATTTGAAGAAAAAATGATGAAAATTTTTCAAAATTTCCTAATTAAACAGCGATTATGAAAACGCACAAGGACCCTTAAGGATAACTGTTTGCACAACAGTGGGCGTCAAAATGCTGCTGATGATGATTTACCTTTACAGCAAATGCTCAAACTGTTTTCCTTCAGCCGCAATACACGTTCGACATCTTCTTAAAAAAGATCGGGTTATTAAACGAGCGAATCCACGGTTATTAACAAACTCAGCCGCTTCCAATAGTCTTTGCCGTAGCTCAGCTACATTTTCAATCGGCTTGAAATACACTTTTTCTTTCACAGTTCCCCAGTAAAAAAATCTAACGGATTCAAATCTGGTGACCGGGCTGGCTACGGTATTGTACCAGACCGCCCTATCCATCTGCCTGGATAGTTTTGATCGAGATACTCTCGCACTGAGAGTGCATAGTGCGCTGGGCAGCCATCATGCTGAAACCACATGTCCCTGTAGATACTCAGTGGCACGTCCTCCAATAAATTTTCTTTATGATTTTGCGAAAAACCTAAATAAACCTCAGCAGTCAAAGTCTCTGGGAACTCAAACGGACCGATTATTCCGATCTTCCCTGTGTCTTTCTAACATTGTGCGACAAAAAGCAACTCGGGGCTCATAATCCCGGGGCAGAAGAGCTTGAAGACGCTGTACGTGGTATGGATGGAGCACGTTTTTTTGCAAGATTCTATGGGCTGTACTTTTGGGCACACTTGTTTTTAGTTCTATTGCACGCACTGAAGTACTCGGGTCTTCTTCGACAGCTCCTAGCACCACGTCTTCGTAAGGAAGGAAAGATCTTCCCTCACCGTGTGATTGGTTTGGTAGTTGGCCCTCTGAGAACAGTAAGCGGTGCACATTTGTGAACACTCGATGATCTGGATGACGAGCTGCATTCGGGTACCTCTCACAGTAAAGTCTCGCTGCAGCACTAGCGTTGCATCTGCATTCCCCATAAATGTGGTGCATGTTAGCATATTCTTGTACGGTGTACACGGATATAGCGGCACTGCACAATCACACTATCAAAAATAGTCTAAGGAAAGCAAATGTTGTTTTGAAGAGCAATTAAACAGTCCAAATCCAAATCACAAGCGATCAACAGTCCAGTTCACGAATCCAAAATTAGTAACAGTACGAAATCAACAAGCACGAACATGTAAGAATGCGCAGTAAACGAAGGAGTACTGATCGGTATCAAAGTGTGCACTAGCAAGTGAGTGATGTGCTTCATCCATACCACATACAGCGTGTTCAACCTCTCCTGCCCCGGGATTATGAGCCCCGAGTTGCTTTTTGTCGCACAATGTTAGAAAGACACAGGAAAGGTCCACAGTTCTTTGAGAAAATGTTATGGTCGGATGAGACCACATTTAAGAAAGATGGGTACATGAACCTGCATAACTTACACGAGTGGCACGTAGCACACCCACATTTGATGAGAGAAGATAAATCTCAATATCGCTTCAAGATAAACCATTGGACAGGAATTTTAAATGGTAGAATAATCGGTCCATTTGAGTTCCCAGAGACTTTGACTGCTGAAGTTTATTTGGATTTTTTGAAAAATCATGTACAAAATTTATTGGTGGACATGCCACTGAGTATTTACAGGGACATGTGGTTTCAGCATGATGGCTGCCCAGCGCACTATGCACTCTCAGTGAGAGAGTATCTCGATCAAAACTTTAAAGGCAGAAGGATAAGGCGGTCTGGTACAATACCGTGGCCAGCCCGATCACCTGATTTGAATCCTTTAGATTTTTTTACTGGGGAACTGTAAAAGAAGAAGTGTATTTCAAGCCGATTCAAAATGTAGCTGAGCTACGGCAAAGACTATTGGAAGCAGCTGAGTTTGTTAATAACCGTAGTTTCGCTCGTTTAATAACCCGATCTTTTTTAAGAAGATGTCAAGCGTGTATTGCGGCTGAAGGAAAACAGTTTGAGCATTTGCTGTAAAGGTAAATCATCATTAGCAGCATTTTGACGCCCACTGTTGTGCAAACAGTTATCCTTAAGGGTCTTTGTGCGTTTTCATAATCGCTGTTTAATTAGGAAATTTTGAAAAATTTTCATCAGTTTTTTTTCAAATAAAAATTGTGCATAAGTTAACGAGTAATCTTCTAAGTGTTATACCATTTTGGAATCGTTATTAAATGCGCCAATTTTTAAGGTTACTTGCCAAACTCTCGTAGTATATTTTTTTCCAGTACAGCCAGTTAAAGTTGAGCAAAGTTTTACTTTGGAATACTTGGTTGGAAAATAAGTGGCTATTTTTCCTGAACGAGAAAAGTTGGCGGTAAGGTTGAGACACCAATTTGAAGATGCATTATTCATCATTACATTGTAAAAATAAAATCCAAAAAAAGTTAATATTTGTAGTAACAGGAGTTGACAGACTGCCGTAGGGTGTGAAATTTCTATATCTTTTTCAAAGACCTATAATTTTCAAAACACATACATAAAATTTTTTTAAATATTTTTCTGATAGCTGTTATGACTTTGCGTATCATCCGGTTTCGGCTTGACGTCGACTTCTGGGACACCCTGTATAACCAGGCCTTGAACCGAACACAACCTGATTGATGACACGATCCTGTGGCTGATACACAGTCAATCTACTTGAGGTCATTTTTCCAGCTCACATTCTGTTCGACGATGCTTTCATCCGGAAGAAAAAAGACCCGGAACCTCGACTGAACGAATACGTCCTACGCTTAATCGAGTCAGTACAAGACGCTGTCAGCAATCTCCACGCGACAAACGTCAAGGTCAAACCACCGACAATAATGCAAACACCATACGGAGGCCGAATCGTCTGGACTCTGCCAGGTCGAAATAAGCTAGTGGTACATTTGAAGGACACCGACAAGATTAGGACTAGGAAGCGATGGTCGCAGGTCATGTACATGTACTACCTTCTTGGGTACAGGTGAGATAGTACACGAAAAATAAGGTATTTGTGGGACAAGGAATGAGAAGACCAAAGATTGCTTTAATCAGAGGTATAGAGTCAATGGAAATACGTCAGCACTTGCTGCATTTTTTTCTATTAAAAGAATCGAGCACTGCCAACGAACTCAGGTGAGATAGTGTTGCGGATGGTCGAGTAAATAAATGGATGGAAATCGATTTTCATAAGTTTTCTATATTTTTCTCTTTCCATATCGATCACTGCAAGCAAGACTATCGTAACTCAGTTCTGTTTGAGCTGAGGTAGAGGCATTAGAAGATTTTCTGATGAATGTCGTTGTCAGAAAAATGATGCTCTCATCAAAAATATGTTGCACATTGCAGTAATACTTGTATATAGAAGGTTATAAATTTTATTACAATACAAACCTAGCAAATTTCACTGATCAACAGCCAAAAAATATCCTAAATAAAATCAACAAAATATTACTATTTTTAATGTGCTAAAACCGGAATGAAGCTTATTTTTTCAATATTAGTTCAAGTTTTAGAGATACGGTAATTATATGTGTTCCTGCTGTGACAGTGTTAATATACTGTAATTCACAAGAATGCACGTGATACATTTTTATATTCGGCAAGGAAAGATGATGTAATCGGCATGATTGTGTTACGTTATACATCCGTGTACATTATATTGTTTTATATTAGCCACTTTTTCCTCAGTTGGCTGACAGCGTTCATGCAAGATGTCTCGAAAGTGTGTAAACAATCCAGATCAGATTTGTTACGTGTGTGGTGATGTGACTTTTGCGTCTCAGAGACGGTCTATTACTCCACTAATAACAAAGGCATATCAGCTTTATTTCGGTTGTAAACTAGGTGATCAAGACAAACAGTGGGCACCCCACATCTGCTGTAATACATGTGCTTCAAGTCTGAGGAGCTGGTTAAATGGCAAAAAACGATCTATGCGCTTTGCTGTCCCAATGGTTTGGAGAGAGCCTACAAATCATATTAATGATTGTTTCTTTTGCATGGTATCTTGTGTTGGACAAGTCACAGGTATGTCCAAGAAAAAAAAATCGGTTATTAACTACCCACACATACCATCTGCGATGAGACCTGTGCCTCACAGTGACGAAAATCCTATTCCAAAACCCCCAGAATCCTACACTTGCGAATCAGAAAACGAATCAGATCATGGCGATCGAGTGATTCGTCAGGAAGAAGATATGCCATCAACGACAAGAGATCCTGATTTTATACCGAGCACGTCATGCCACCAACCGCACAAAATAACACAGTCAGAATTAAATGATCTTGTAAGAGATTTAGAACTTCCAAAATGTAAGGCAGAGTTACTTGGATCAAGACTGCAGCAGTGGAACTTGTTAGAAGACGATGTTTCGGTATGTGTTTTTCGTAAACGCCACAAAGACTTAGAACCATTTTTCAATATGTAGAATAACTTGGTTTTCTGCAGTAACATTAACGGCTTACTGGCGGCTTTAAATATAAACTATAACCCAGAAGAGTGGAGATTGTTTATAGACAGTTCAACATTGAGTTTAAAGGCAGTGTTATTGCATATTGGAAATATTTTACCATCTCTTCCTGTAGGGTATGCAGTTCACATGAAAGAATCATATGACAATGTGAAGTACCTATTGACATGCATAAAATACGATGAGCACCAATGACATATTTGTGACGATTTGAAAGTTGTTGCACTTTTACTTGGGCTGCAGCTAGGCTACACAAAGTTTTGCTATTTTTTGTGTGAATGGGACAGTCGGGCAAAGGCACTTCATTACACCAGACAAAACTGGCCTGTTCGTCAATTCCTAGAGCCAGGTCAAAAAAATGTACAGCATATGCAATTAGTAGATTCGAAAAAAAATTTATTACCACCACTGCATATCAAGTTGGGCCTAATGAAAAACTTTGTCAAGGCATTAGATAGAGATGGGTCAGCTTTTCAATACCTGTGTCAGAAATTTCCAAGACTAAGTGAGGCAAAGGTTAAAGAAGGTATTTTTGTTGGGCCACAGATTCTAAATATTTTGAAAGATACACAGTTTGACAACACTTTAACACGTATTGAAAAAACTGCTTGGAATGATTTCCGTCTGGTGGTCACTAATTTCTAGGGAAATAGAAAAGCTGACAACTATAAAACCCTTGTCAAAAATATGCTGTCATCGTATCAAAAGATGGGCTGTAATATGTCTCTTAAGATACATTTCCTACACTCACACCTGGACTTTTTTCCTGACAGTTGCGGAGCCGTAAGTGATGAGCACGGCGAACGTTTTCATCAGGATATTTCAACAATGGAAAAAAGGTACCAGGGAAAGTGGAATCCTTCCATGCTTGCAGACTACTGTTGGACTCTTGGTAGAGATGCTCCAGAAACGATCCATAAAAGAAACAGCAAAAAGACAGCGCATATAGTGATTCTTATAAGTATATGAATCTTGCTACTTTTTTTAATATATCCTCAAAAATAAAAAGTTTTTTTTCTAAACCGCAACTAATTTTTTTATTTCATTATTATTTTTGGATTCAGGGCCCCAAAATTAACAAAGAAGTGCACTTTTCCCACAAGATACAATTAAAAAACTAAAATTTGTTGTCCAGTGAATCAATGTTACTATCGTAAGACATCAGCATAGTCACACTTATATTTTATTTCACGAGGCACTTACCTTATTTATGTTCAACTTTTCCCACAATCGTCTTTGTTCCAATTTTCCGATTTTACCCTTTATTTAAAACTAATGGATCCACGACCAACCGCAGACAGGGTTCATTAGCCCTCGCCAATACGATATAGGTATCAGGTCCAGACTTGGAGATGAAAGAATGAAAAGCAAACACATGAGTGTCGTCTCAGCAAAACCGAGGACTGTAGTAGTTGAATTCTCTGTTAAACTTTTTAATTTCACAAGCACGAGAGAAACAGACTGTGATCCGGCAAATCCCAATGCATAAGGGGATGTTATGTTTCAACATGTTTGTTGTGTTGAAAGAATTCATCACTATTTATGAACCAAACTTGTCTGAGCTTAACGGTTCATTAACTACACTTAGCTTTCTTGCATCTGCCAGAATTATTTTGGTCCTGGAATTCATTTTAATTCGCTTTGAAAACCGCGGTTTTCAGCTAATACTTGAAACGTTTTTGCTATTAATTACCGTAACCTTGAGCTATGCCGCGAGAATCATAGTAAGTCAGACACTAGGTCTAACGGTAAGTTAGGCTTTCCGTGATTTTTTGCTTCGTAGGCTGAAGTAACTCAATTTGATGTAGTTTTCGCGGAAGCAACCGCCACTATTATACTTACTATAAGACGTAGAAGATTTACTGGTTGCCTGCAGTTGCATGACTGGGATACCATATTCTTGAGTTATTATAGTCTTCGTTACATAAATTGAACGTAAATCGAACAGATCATAACCATAGGTGACTGATCACGTAGGTGAGTAATGGCATAAGTGACAGTCGACAGACCCAACGTTGCCAACTTTAACGAATTAATGACGGACCATCACAGCTGTGACGCGTAATTCGAATTCGAAATGACTTACTACAGTAGAAGAAGTAAGTGAAGGATTTGTTTGTCTCCTAATTCTCACAGTTAGTGGTGAGGATCACAGTGCACTTGATATAACTCCTTTTTATAACCATTGTGTCATTAAATTCATATTATTATATACTCGTATAAAGCCTTATTTTTTCAAAGTGCGAGTGCTGTTAGGTGATTTCAAGTCAACATACGAGGCCTGTAAATTAAGTAATGAGACTAGCAATGTATCGTTTCATATCAAAAAGCTGCGTACTCAAAATCGCGCATTGGGATTTGTAGATCTTTGATTTTGAATTCAAGGACTTGACCTCAAAAGGTACATCGCTGTTTAGGCTTTTCAGTCGATCTTCATGTTTTTCGAATACAGAACTCATTATAATACGAATACAATCGCATTCCAATCAGATTTATCAACGTTTTTTTTTAAGAATGAGCTGAAATTATATACTAAGTGACATATAAATCCGAACACCCAGTTTAAATGGTTTTATTTTAATAAAATTTTGTATAAGTACTTAATGAAGCATAATAAGTAAATGATAAAAATTTCAAAATGATTGCACTGCTTTAAAGCCCTTTGACCTTTAATAAGGTGTGGATGCACCCTAATGTGCTACGCATTCTCCAACGCGCCTAGGCATGCTTCTGATCAGGTAGTCAATGTCCTCCTGTGGTATCTCATTCCAGGCAACCACCAACTCCTCTCGAAGTGCTTCTAGAGTCTGAGGAGGACGTTGCAAATTGAGCAATCTCCTACCCATCATATCCCACAGGTGCTCAATTGGGGATAAGTCGGGAGATCTTGGTGGCCATGGTGACAATGTGACATCATTATGTTGAAAGAAGTCTATTGTGACTCTTGCAACATGTGGTCGGGCATTATCTTGTTGGAAACTTGGATCTGCCAGTGTGTCAAGATAGGGTAAAAGATGGGGTTCTAGAACTTCGTGGATATAACGCTGCGCGTTCATGTTACCTCTGATGAAGATTAAAGGTGACCTGGAACCATAAGCTATAGCACCCCAAACCATAACTCCAACAGTGTGATGAACATGTCTTTCAACAAAAAACTGTGGATTCCTCCTTTCATCACGTCGCCTTCTAACCCTGGTACGACCATCGTGCATGCCTAAACAAAATCGAGACTCGTCACTTAAGACAGTACTGTTCCATTAATGATCCCAGAGTGACCGTTGTCTGCACCACTCAAGGCGATTACGTCGGTGTTCTCGAGTTAAAGGGAGGACCCGGTGTGGCCGCCATGAAAACAAGCCAAAACTTCTCACTCGTCGGTAAACACTTCGCATGCCAATAGGTCTTCCGTGTTCTGCAAACCATTCATTTGCAATGGACCTGGTAGTGGAGAAACGGTCCCTTAAGGCCAATAATCTTAGGCAGCGATATTCACGGTCTGTTGTTCTACGGCGGCGTCTAGTGCCCCTTGCTCTTTGCGTACGGCCTTCTCGAAGCCATGCCTGACAACACCTAACCACAGTGTCTACACTTCTTTGCACTCTAACTGCAATTGCCCGAAAAGAAAGTCCAGCTTCCCGAAGTCCCACTACACGGCCCCTATCAAATTCACTAAGTTGACGAAATCGTACAGGTCTCCGTACTCTAGGCATCGTAACCGATCGTAAAGAGTGTCAAGAACCAAAATCCGCCAACGTTGATTCTTTACTGCGGCTGAAATATACATTTTTAGAGCGTTAGTGAATTAAAAAAAAAAGCAGTATAAAAACCGTCCAACTGATAAGGCCGAAAATTTTTTCACTTGTTATTTACAGTAAGATAAATACCTAACTTCACCAACTTTTATTAAAATAAAACCATTTAAACTGGGTGTTCGGATTTATATGTCACTTAGTATATCAATATCACTAACATGGTATTAATTTGGAAATTGTTTAATCTGACAATTTCTTCAAATATACGTGGACGAACTCGCGCAACTCATTCTGGAACCTATCGAGAAGCTGACCATGAGAATATTTTTCGAAAAAAGGCATTCACAGAGGTCATTAATATACAATAGTAATTAAAGTGGTCCCAAGTCAGATCCCTGGGGAACACCAGATGTAGCTGAGTAGGCTTCAGACCTGAACCCAGCTTATGCTTTCGCTCTGATAAATACTTACTGTGAATCCAAGGTGACATCATTTCGTTAAAAAGCTCAATCAATTTTGAATATCTCATAGAAAACAAATTTTTCACAATTGAAACTTCAAATACTGTGAAAACATTGATCAATCAGAGACTTTCTGAAATTTTGTATGAAGGACTTTTTTGTAACTTTGCCGTATTTAAATTAAAGGTTCTTCTGGAACACCATGCAATGATGTGCTAAATGTAGCAAGATTGCTCTTGAGCTGCTTCTCGTATTCTGGATTAAGAAATAATTAATCTGAAAGCAACAGGAATAACGAGGTAGATGCATTTTTTTGCAGGATAATGGACAACGACGAGCTTTCGAACAGTGAAATTGCGAGCATTTCAGAGAATACTTACATATTGGCCTTGGATGGAGACATCGATTTCCAACCGCATGCTGTCCAGTTGCTGCTGGATTACATGAAGAGAAACAGAGGCTTAGGAGCTGCTTGTGGTATGGTTGAAAATGATATATAATTCACCAATGTTTCTAATCAGCGATAGTGAACTTTAAAAAAGAAGAGAAGAACCAGATCAACAATTTATTTTCCCCATATTATCTGATGAGCTATCAAACAACTACCAAATCGACTGAGTTGGACAGTCGTTAACGCTAACGTGAAAGCAGGCCGATATCCAAGGAAAACTCTACCAAACAAAGCTCTTTCGGCAGTAATTAACTTGATGTTTTGAATCTGTGTTACAGATGAATATTTCATTTTATTGCATCTCTACTCGAAAAAATGTTCAACCTCTACTAGCACGCTTTTTGTGTGTTTATGTGTCCCTATACAATGCTTCCCCATCCCCAGCTTGAAGTTTTTGTAGGAAGGCTGTAAGCTTTGTGGGTTGTGGGGGTTCGGTCCGCTTCCAGATGATTTGATATCTATTTCAATGATAAAATACACACTAAGATACATACCAACAAACAAATCAAGATAAATAAAATCTTTTAAGATATGTGCTGTACCCCGCGCTTCCAGAGTCACGAATACGTTGGTTTTTCGGGCAAATGTTCGAATAATAATGATAATTTATTCACATCAATTACACATTGTGAACAAATGCATATGCCACAAAAGGAATATCCTTGTATGTGGATATTATGGTAACACCCCGTACATAATATTGTTACTAACTAAAAAAAAAGAATCTATATAATATACTAAGTGACATATAAATCCGAACACCCAGCTGGACCTTCTTTTCGGACAATTGCAGTTAGAGTACAAAGAAGTGTAGACACTGTGGTTAGGTGTTGTCAGGCATGGCTTCGAGAAGGCCGTACGCAAAGAGCAAGGGGCACTGGACGCCGCCGTAGAACAATAGACTGTGAAGATCGCTGCCTAAGATTATTGGCCTTATGAGACCGTTTCTCCACTACTAGGTCCATTGCAAATGAATGGTTTGCAGAACACGGAAGACCTATTGGCATGCGAAGTGTTTACCGATGAATGAGAAGTTTTGGCTTGTTTTCATAACGGCCACACTGGGTCCTCCCTTTAACTCGAGAACACCGACGTAATCGCCTTGAGTGGTGCAGACAACGGTCACTCTGGGATTAGGAATGGAACAGTATTGTCTTTAGTGACGAGTCTCGATTTTGTTTAGGCATGCACGATGGTCGTACCAGGGTTAGAAGGCGACGTGGTAAAAGGAGGAATCCACAGTTTTTTGTTGAAAGACATGTTCATCACACTGTTGGAGTTATGGTTTGGGGTGCTACAGCTTATGGTTCCAGGTCACCTTTAATCTTCAGCAGAGGTAACATAAACGCGCAGCGTTATATCCACGAAGTTCTAGAACCCCATCTTGACACCCTGGCAGATCCAACTTTCTAACAAGATAATGCCCGACCACATGTTGCAAGAGTCACAATAGACTTCTTTCAACATAATGATGTCACATTGTTACCATGGCCACCAAGATCTCCCAACTTATCCCCAATTGAGCACGTGTAGGATATGATGGGTAGGAGATTGCTCAATTTGCAACGTCCTCCTCAGACTCTAGAAGCACTTCGAGAGGAGTTGGTGGTTGCCTGGAATGAGATACCACAGGAGGACATTGACCAGATGATCAGAAGCATGCCTAGGCGCGTTGAAGAATGCGTAGCACATCAGGGTGCATCCACATATTATTAAAGGTCAAAGGGCTTTAAAGCAGTGCAATCATTTTCAAATTTTTATCATTTACTTATTATGCTTCATTAAGTACTTATACAAAATTTTATTAAAATAAAACCGTTTAAACTGGGTGTTCGGATTTATATGTCACTTAGTATATAAGTGTAATATCTACATCAATTTACTATCGTAAAAATAAAGAAAAGATATGTGTTAGTTTTTTATGAATTAAATCATATTTATATCAGTTTTAAAAAGCCACTCGTATGCATCTATTTTCAATAATTATATTGGGTTTTTTCTAATATATTTTGGTAAGTCGTTTTTTGTTGTTGTTGTTGAAGATTTATTCAGCATTAATGCTACAATATCAATTTTGCATAACGATCCGGTTACATATTTTTCTTCAATCCATTTTCTGTAATATTACAATCTTGTCTATTAAAATTAAAATTTCGTCACTATGTATTTTGATAATTCATAAAGTGGTCTTTTAATTTGTCCTTCACTCTTCACTCTCCCACATATTATTTTCTTGACCACTAATATATTTATCCATATTATTCATAATCATTCGAAGTAGCTGTCGGCATTATCGATAATTTCAGGTATACTGTGTTGTGAAAGTGTTTCTGGTAATTTTAAGTTATGATACAATTTTGGACCAAAGTAAATGACTGCACATGATGTAAGCGTTGGATATATCCTACCGACAAAGTTTTGGGCTTGTATCCCATCGACACCAGATTCTGGAATTCAAATATTCAAATAATATTACATCTTTTAACAATGGAAAGCGAGCTGAACATTCCTTATTGAGCACCAACCGAGATAATTCAAAACTAAGTTAGTTTGTTGCTGCAAACGAATTCGTGGTGAAAGGTAGTAGAGTTGCGTGTTTCAGTATTGAGAATATTATCTCATCATTCGAACGCAGAGCTCCTGAGTTCGCCAATATCATATATTCTTGGCAACAGACTAACTTAGTTTTGGATTCTCTTGGTTGGTTCTCGTTGCCTTAAGGCGGCTCCGACGCGGTGAGTTTCAAGCCATTTACAAAGGTTCAGCTACTTCAAAACTGACACTCCATATTTAAATGTTTTTGAATGAAACTCATACAGTATGTTGATAAGATAATTGCCCAGGGTGCTATAGGAGTACTTTTTGAAATTTTCATGCACCCGCAGTCATGCTTTCCTCTTTTTAAGTAGCACCGACGACCGTCTAATGCCAGCCCACCCTCGTTTCCTTTTCACCCCCCGTTACCTCAGCAGATGGTGCTCGTGATTGTAGCAGCCCCGTTAAATCATGAATTTCCAGGTAGGATCCATCCAGTAGGAGCTGGGGCGATGGCCTGGTACCAAATCTTCGAATACGCTGTCGGCCATTGGCTGCAGAAAGCCACTGAACACGTGATTGGCTGCGTATTGTGCAGTCCCGGATGCTTCTCTCTATTCAGAGCTAGCGCTCTCATGGACCATAATGTGATGGCTAAGTACACCACAGAATCGGATGAAGCCAAACATTTCGTACAGTACGATCAAGGTGAAGATAGGTAGGTTTAACTTTAAATATTGAAGACATCACCTAAGCCTAAGCACCAGTGTCCACGACTACTATACAGAAGTTAAACTGCTGCGCCTGGTCACGATTTATAGAAATGCCAGAAGTGTTTATATTTTTACATACTTGTAGCCTGACACTCTGCATAATCCAAAGTCCGACAATGATTTGTGAACGGTCATGTCTGACCTCAATAATGAAGTTGCACTTGGGATACAATGTTTCTTATCCAACATCTCAAAAAGACTGTCTTTTAAGTTTTGCATATGGAAATGAAACAACACAGTAGGTAGTTTTAAATGACTTTATTGTTTTTCGAACTATTCTCCACGAAGATTAACGCACATCTGCATGCGCTCGAACCAATTTACGAAGCACTTATTCGACTCGTTTGCTGGCAGATCTAAAACGGCATTTTTGAACGCGTCAACTGGTTCTTCTGGTGACTGGAACTTTTGACCACACAGTCTGTTATTAATTTTCGGAAAAGTGAAGAAATCGTTAGGACTTAGATGATTCTTCTTTCGGGGTTGATTTTTCGAAGCTCGATGATGATTTTTGGCAAACAAATGGTGGGATACCAATCCGCAGTACAGTTCTTTGCTCATTAAGCAGAATTGTTGCAATATGACCCGCTTATGACACAAATGTCGCGACCATCTTTTTCGAAACACTTCTAGAACGGATGACTTTTGTTGGCTTTTCTTCACCTTGGAACACCCAAACACCCAAGCGTTTTTTGACACCAATTGACGCTGGCTGCTTTCTGCTCTTGAGTCAACAGGTCCAAGTCAAAAAAGTGTTTTTTATTTGTTGCCAGATGGCTATGTACCTTGCTCTTACAAAGGGGCTACCGTGTAGAATATTCAGCTGCCTCAGATGCATACACGAAATGTCCTGAAGGGTTCAACGAATTTTATAACCAACGAAGAAGATGGATGCCTTCAACTACTGCAAACATCTTGGACTTGCTGAATGACCGCGATCATATTGTCAAAGTGAACGAAAATATTTCGTGGTTGTACATCATATATCAAGTAAGTATTCGTATTTTAACCAAGAAAGCATGTCAAACATGTAGTCCTATTATTGATTATAATTTCTTGGAGATGGAACCCAAGCTTTTGGATAGAAAAGGACTGAAACTGCCTTATGGAAAAAATGTTCTTTCTTATTTATCTAACTGAGGTGTTTACAAACAATTGCTGGAAATAAAAGTTATGTAGCTTTTCATTACAGACATATTGAGGCCATGCCTATGTCAATTAATATATAAAACAATGTCAAAATATCTGTTAAATTCTTATATACAGGCTGTTCCTTAATGATATGCGAATATCTAAGGGTGTCAATCCACATGAAAAATTAATGTGTTTGCTTTATAAACTATGGTCCAAAAATGTTTCCTTACAAAAACTCGGGGTGTTGAAGTTTTAGGAAAAAACTGGAAATCAATTAATATTTTCATAACTGCTTCACATATTTCACTGATATTTAGTACCTAGTGAAAGTTAATAAAGTTGCTTATTTTTCAATGAAAAAATAATTTTAAGCTTTAACAGTGGCGTGCTTTAAATATTCGCATATCATTAAGGAGCACCCTGTATAGGTACTTGCAAAACAATCAATGAATCTGTAATCCATAGTTTCTGGAGTGAGCAAAATACAAGGATGCTTTCAAATTTAAAAAATGGATAAATGATTTTAGAAAAAAAAAAAACGTTTACTTAAATACCGCGTACTGAAGTGCATCTACTGCAATCACTTTGATCACAAAATATCTCTTAAGAGTTTTATTATGGGCTGCAACTAATGTCCATGTATTCCTTTCTGTGGGACTCTCATGTATCCGATTATTTCTTATTTCTCTTAGATAATATTTTATGCTGTAATGTAAATATACTAAGTGACATATAAATCCGAACACCCAGTTTAAATGGTTTTATTTTAATAAAATTTTGTATAAGTACTTAATGAAGCATAATAAGTAAATGATAAAAATTTCAAAATGATTGCACTGCTTTAAAGCCCTTTGACCTTTAATAATGTGTGGATGCACCCTGATGTGCTACGCATTCTCCAACGCGCCTAGTCATGCTTCTGATCAGGTGGTCAATGTCCTCCTGTGGTATCTTATTCCAGGCAACCACCAACTCCTCCCGAAGTGCTTCTAGAGTCTGAGGAGGACGTTGCAAATTGAGCAATCTCCTACCCATCATATCCTACACGTGATCAATTGGGGATAAGTCGGGAGATCTTGGTGGCCATGGTAACAATGTGATATCATTATGTTGAAAGAAGTCTATTGTGACCCTTGCAACATGTGGTCGGGCATTATCTTGTTGGAAAGTTGGATCTGCCAGGGTGTCAAGATAGGGTAAAAGATGGGGTACTAGAACTTCGTGGATATAACGCTGCGCGTTCATGTTACCCCGGATGAAGATTAAAGGTGACCTGGAACAATAAGCTATAGCACCCCAAACCATAACTCCAACAGTGTGATGAACATGTCTTTCAACAGAAAACTGTGGATTCCTCCTTTCACCACGTCGCCTTCTAACCCTGGCACGACCATCGTGCATGCCTAAACAAAATCGAGACTCGTCACTAAAGACAATACTGTTTCATTCCTGATTCCAGAGTGACCGTTGTCTGCACCACTCAAGGCGATTACGTCGGTGTTCTCGAGTGAAAGGGAGGACCCAGTGTGGCCGGTATGAAAACAAGCCAAAACTTCTCATTCGTCGGTAAACGCTTCGCATGCCAATAGGTCTTCCGTGTTCTGCAAACCATTCATTTGCAATGGACCTGGTAGTGGAAAAACGGTCCCTTATGGCCAATAATCTTAGGCGGCGATCTTCACGGTCTATTGTTCTACGGCGGCGTCCAGTGCCCTTGCTCTTTTGCGTACGGCCTTCTCGAAGCCATGCCTGACAACACCTAACCACAGTGTCTACACTTCTTTGCACTCTAACTGCAATTGCCCGAAAAGAAAGTCCCACTATACGGCCCCTATCAAACTCACTAAGTTGACGAAATCGTACAAGTCTCCGTACTCTGGGCATCGTAACCGATCGTAAAGGATGTCAAGAACCAAAATCCGCCAACGTTGATTCTTTACTGCGGCTGAAATTTTTAGACCGTTAGTGAATTAAAAAAAAAGCAGTATAAAAACCGGAATGTCTAACTGACAAGGCTGAAAATTTTTTCACTTGTTATTTACAGTAAGATAAATACATTTACCAACTTTTATTAAAATAAAACCATTTAAATTGGTTGTTCGGATTTATATGTCACTTAGTATATAATAAATCATTCCTAACTGAAAAAAAATGAAATTAGATTTGTATCAGAAGAAAACTATAGAATGTACAAGGTGAGGATGACCTATAACTAAATCTCGGCAGCCGAACAGATTTGTCATCTTGGATTAAAAAGAAAAAAGCTGAGAGACAGAATTATCTTCTAATCAAGTTTACTAGACGAAGCTACATTTTTCTTACATACAGGGTGTCCGCAAAGTTGGGGTTTTCCTTTACATGACGTGTAGATCTTGAAAACATAACCAATTTTTCTTAATACCATGTACACCAATGTCTTAAGGGAACCGAGATAAAGGGCTCTGCAACATCAAAAATATCTGAATACCGTCCTGTAGCCACGACATCCCCGACTGGTACTAGGACACTAGCTCAACCCGACGACAGAACTGGGTCGGGGTCAGTGTGCCAGGTCAGTATGCAACCTTCAACCGACAGTTACTGTCACGCGTCTAGAGGTAATCGCGTAGCACTAGAGACGTGGCTAGAGAAGTGCAAGTATCAAAAACTAAAGTGTGGCAAACGCTGCGTGAAGAGAGGCTGTATCCGTTTCACGTCCAGCGTGTACAAGCCCTTCAACCTGACGATTTTCCAGCAAGAGTGCGGTTTTTTGGGTGGTTGTTGCATCAACATGACAATAATCCGGACTTTTTGAAGTGCATATTGGTGACAGACGAATCTACGTTCACGCGTAATGGGGTGAATGACTTTCGCAACACAAATGTTTGGTCAGTAGAAAATCCGCACGCTGTCCGTCGGGCACATTTTCAACAAACATTTTCGGTGAATGTTTGGGCTGGCATGGTGAACGGTATGCTCATTGACTTTTTACGCCACATTTTGCCTTCCTTGTTTGCCTGTGTCTGCTCGGTAGCGCATCAGCTGATTTCGTTTTCTGTTGGAGCGGTATGATTTCGGGCAGAGACGTACTTAGCCCTTCTCGTCAACTGGAGAGTGAGTACTTTTTCCTTTATTTTTTTTTTACTTGGTCGCCATCGTTTCACTACACATTACCTTTGTTATTTCAGGGGTAGTTGTTTTTGAAAAGGAAAACCCCAACTTTGCGGACACCCTGTATATTCGTTTGAAAAATCCGATCCCACGGGACAACCCAAAACGACATAATCGTTTTTTTGAATAGTTTGAAATGGGGAAAATCCTGTAAGCGTTACGTGAAAGGTGATTCAAGCACACGTCTTTTCCCTGAGCGTTCCCGAGGTGCAGTGTTATTTTATCTTCATCTGGAACACCCTGTAGTTTTCTCAGATATACTTCCGACTTTCATTGCATTGTTTTTTTTTTGTTTATAATGCACTATTATTGCACCTAAAAATAATATTGTCTCTGGATGAGAAAAAAAATAACAGTTTGATATATATTTTTTTTATTAATTCCACTATTTTTTCCATTTCTATGAGCATTTTGTAATATGCATATTAACCGTACTTCTTAATACAGCTCTTGAGGAGACTTCGCGACCCGACTGATATTTTTTTTCTACTCCGTATCGCCAAAACGGGATACACGAAACCTCCTCACATTCACTTATACCTCCTTGCTTTGCCCTAGATTCTATACCTTTTTGAAGCTCTATTGAAAGTTGGTGTTTTTGAAATAGGTTTGAGCTACTTAGAAACGATCCAGTTCTTTTAGCAATAACTCCTTTATCAATATGTTGATTAAAATTAGCATGGTCTTAGTAGCCATGTAATACAGATCTTCATAACTTGAGGAACAATTTTTATCAACATATTAATTTTAAAAATAAAAAAAATAATGCTTTTGCCCATATGTGACTTAAATATTTAGAAAAAATGCAATAATTTATCTGTTGCATTAAATCGTTGATCTACCCCTTGAATTTTGTAATATAATTTAGAATTTGATTTAAGTTGCTCGGAATGATACATTACGACGGATTTTTTACTAAATTGTACATTTTTCAGATGATTCTCATGGTGGGTACAGTGCTGGGTCCAGGAACAATTTTCCTCATGTTGGTAGGGGCATTCGTCTCTGCTTTCAAGCTCAGTCAATGGGAAAGCTTCGGATGGAACCTCCTACCTATTCTCCTTTTTGTAATAATCTGCGCCATCTGCAAAGCCGAAACTCAACTGTTCTTTGCTAGCATCATCAGTGGAATGTATGGTTAGTGGACTTGTTATTATAATGTTTGGTGCATGACAAGATGGAATGGCTTCATATCTTCAAAAGTTCACAGAAAAATATTCTAGTTTCTTGCAAAGACAACTGTCTAATAACAAAAGCTCAGCAGAAGCTTAAATAACAGGGCACCGTGGCTGTTATGATGAGCTTATGTAATCTGAAACACAAATCAGCATCAGCGTCATTTTTGTTCTTTGATGGTGGTGATGACATTAACAGGAGTGACGACATACCTTTTCGGGGAAAGTGTTAGCGGTTAACTCAAAATACAGGGTGTCCGCAAAGTTGGGGTTTTCCTTTACACGACGTGTAGATCTTGAAAACATAAGCAATTTTTCTTAGTACCATATACACCAATGTCTTAAGGGAGCCGAGATAAAGGGCTCTGCAACATCAAAAATATCTGAATACCATCCTGTAGCCGCGACCCGCCGCGATATCCCCGAGAGGTACAAGGTCTCAACCCGACGGCAGAACTCGGTCGGGGTCAGTGTGTCAGGTTAGTATGCAACCTTCAACCGACGGTTACGGTCACGCATGTAGAGGTAATCGCGTAGACGAGAATCGCTCAACAAGCACTAGAGACGTGCCAAAAACTGAAGTGTGGCAAACGCTGCGTGAAGAGAGGCTGTATCCGTTTCACGTCCAACGTGTACAAGCCCTTCAACCTGACGATTTTCCAGCAAGAGTGCGGTTTTGTGAGTGGTTGTTGCATCAACGTGACAATAATCCGGACTTCTTGAAGTACATATTGGTGACAGACGAATCTACCTTCACGCGTAATGGGGTGAATAACTTTCGCAACACTCATGTTTGGTCAGTAGAAAATCCGCACGCTGTCCGTCGGGCACATTTTCAACAAACATTTTCGGTGAATGTTTGGGCTGGCATGGTGAACGGTATGCTCATTGGACCATTTATTCTCCCAAATCGATTGGACGGGATGCAATACCTAGACTTTTCACGCAACATTTCGCCTTCCTTGTTAGAAGATGTGCCATTCAGTGTAAGACAGTCAATGTGGTTTCTGCGTCTGCTCGGTAGCGCTTCAGCTGATTTCATTTTCTGTTGGAGCGGTATGATTTCGGGCAGAGACGTACTTAGCCCTTCTCGTCAACTGGAGAGTGAGTACTTTTTCCTTTATTTTTTTTACTTGGTCGCCCTCGTTTCACTGCACATTACCTTTGTTGTTTCAAGGGTAGTTGTTTCTGAAAAGGAAAACCCCAACTTTGCGGACACCCCCAGATTGTTCTATATTTTCCTATTCTAAAGCTTTAAATTGAAAGCAGAAACAATGATATTGAATGCTTCCAATTGCGGGTTCCGTGTATGGTTTATCAATCGCAGTTCAACTGTAATTTTACTGCTGATAGGAAGTTGGCCCTCAGAACACGTTTTTCAATGTCCTGAAGCTATAGAAGACTACCTACGGGTTTATTAGTCAGTTGTGGTTAAGGCGTAATGCCTAACTTTTTTTCAGACGCAACATCAGCATTGCTGTAGCAACAATTACGACCTAGCTAACCAGAACGAATTAACGGACAACTGTTAGTTAACTTCCAAGTTATAGTTACCCAACTTCAGGGATAGCCTATGATTAAAACCTCGGCCTTAGTCGAGTACAGTTATTTACATCTCTCCATGCATTTACTGACCTTTGTCGAGCACAATAGGGCGACTCTCTTTTTTCATTTATTTCAAGGCAATGCAACAGTTCGGTCCGTTGATTTTTCATTCCTTATTTTACTGAAAAGGTTACCCCAAATATTTTATTGCAGGGGGTCGTAACGAAAATTTTATATTTACGTTGGGCATTTATGTTCCTTGGCACTCCAACTTTATGGCGTCGCCCATAACCGTCCTCTCAAAAGCATTGACCTAAATATTATTTCAATAACTATTGCACAAAAGCTGAAAGCAAAGTAATCTGAAACAAACGCAAACCAGAGTAATTTCTGTTAATGATAAGGTAATTGAGATTATACCCAACTTAGATGCCAGCGACAAATAACAGGAGTGACGCCAAAATGTTAGCTGTTAGAATAAAGTCAAATATATCGTTCCACTTTTTTCCCCATTTGACACTTTCAATTAAATGCTTAAACAAAAATATCGCATGCTTTCAATTACAGGTTTGGTCATGATGGCTGTCTTGGTCGGAATCCTTCTCCAGATTAAGGACGATGGTGTTATGGCACCTTCGTCTTTATTCTTCTTTTTCGTTGCAATGGAGTTCATCGTCACCGCTTTACTCCATCCTCAGGAGTTCTACTGTTTGAAGTACGGCGTGATATACTACGTGACGGTACCCAGTATGTACATGCTGTTGGTTATATATTCGGTCTTCAATATGAACTCCATCTCATGGGGTACCAGGGACGTGAAACTTGTCGACGATGATGCACCAGAAAATGGGGTAAGGCGTTTGGCAACTTTCTTTATATTTTTAAATGTGAAAACTTCCACGTAATCCCACGAACCTGAACCTGATGACTCGTCAATCAGGGGAGCATTAGACTAACTAAGCGAAAACTTAATTGGATATATTTGCTTCCCATTTCAAATACTATAATCCATCGCATACGACGTCGTTTCGTTCTTATTAGGAATCATAAATTCAGTTAGGTGTTTTCTTGATATATAACATGCGCTTGCCTGCTTCCATTGACTGTCTCCAAAACCCGAACCACGCCAATGATTGCTAGGAGGCATAAAGCGATATTGTTTGTGGTTCCTTTTGAGACTGAAAGCAAGCGTAACAAATTCAGCTTGTAGACACTATACCACAGTTATCATTACACTATCACGTAACATTGTCAGAGTAGTTAAGCAAGGCGGGTACTGGAGCATATTTGATAGACCTATCAAAAATCTCCTTTTCAGTTAAGTCAATCGATCCAATTTGTTTATCGTAGTATTTTAAGTAGAGTAGTGATTTATGTACAGAAAATGACGTCATGATTCTGGAAGCCAAACAATCCTGAGGTCTACGTTTTCCTTACTTTTCGGTAGGTTCAGCGAGGTCTAATTTTGGAACGCCTCTCTACAGTATATTCAGATAAGAGATAGACCAGACATAAACAAGACCACGTGATCATCGAACGCTGTAACATTCGGCAGGGACGTATTAAGAGTCACGCAGTACATATTTTAGATTGTAGATGCTGCTTTGCGTAACTTTGTAGTAAATTAGCACAATTCGATGTGTATACGATTGGTGATGGATATAGGATCATGTGGGGGTGGGGTAAGAAATATATAATGATGTAAATATACATAAGGGTTTCAAAATTTTCGCTTCGATTTCCAGCTTCGGATGCCGCCTGATGTTTGGTGAAATACAGTCGAATACAATCTCAAAATGGCGTTTAAATTAGCCTAAATTAAAAATAATCGAATATCTCTTAAAATTGCTTTTCGAATATTGATTAGTATATTTTTTGATTTCTAGGTAAATATGTAACCAAATTAAAACGTTCAAAACGTAAAAAAATGTGCATGGTTGAACATTGTCAGAAAGTAGATTCTTGAATAGGTTTTGCCAAAATGGGTTCAAAAATGTCAATAATTAATTAAAAAATACAGTAGCTTTATAATTACTTATAACTTACCGAATTTGATGAACGACACCTTTTATTGGAAAGATGAGCTTGACGAGCTTTCATCATCGCTACTGCCTGAAGCACCAACGTCAATAATGAATGGCTCGACTTGTTCCTCTAAAATATTGTCCAGTCCCCACATTCTCTTTTCAACTTTGTCTTTCACGTGCTTAATACAGTTTTCCCATTTTTGCGCTGTTATTGATTCTAGTGCTTCTTTGAAAAGTCCTTTGAGGTCACAAAATTTAAAAGTTGTATTGTGCTTAGCTATATAATTTTTAACCTCTGCCCATATGAGCTCAATGGGATTCACCTCGCAATCGTATGGAGGTAAACGGAGCACAGTTTTATTTTGACTTGCTGCCATTTCGTCAATGGCGTATTTTTGATATTCCGCCTTGTGATCCTTGACAATTCTTAATAATTGCTTCTTCAAAGTTGATATTTTTCGAGCGGAGCCAATTTTGAACATCAACTTTCCTTGAAGCCGTTGTTGGGACCTTCTCCATTCTTCGAGAATGATAAGGCGCATTCTCCAACACAATTACTGCGTTTTCCTCTAAGTTCGGTAAAATTTTTGAAAACCGCTGTTCAAACGATTCCCCATTCATTTCCTCGTGGTAATCTCCAGTTTTCTTAGACTCAAAGCACCACAGATCGTCAACAACAAATCCATCCTCACTGCCAATATGGCAGATAATGAGCCTTTTCCCTTTACCTGGAGTAGATTTATTTCAATAAGCGAACCTTTTTCAAATGTTTTCAACACATTCAGCGAAAAAACATTGAGACATGAGTATCAGATTGCTATAATTGGGATTATTTAGTCATATTGAAAGAAAGAATATTGAACGTCGTATGATTACTCAGCGCTTCACAATTTAATTTAAAGTTATAAACCTTTAAAAAATGAATGATCAGGAACCTGAAATACGCGCAAATATTAATATTAACAAATTATAACTTTATAAAGCTTAAAGTATGAATTAAAATGATTAGAAATATTAGGAACGGTACACAATATAAAACTTAGTAACTTTTTTTAAGTTTATAATATTCGACATATTTTAAGATTATATTAAAAAATTATTGAAATATCGAAAACACATAAAAACATGGCTTAAAAAAGTTCTAACAAATGAAAATGACAATAAAACATCCACGCATTTTATCGAAAGTTATAAAAGTTTTGTTACTTGTAATATGTTTTATCTGCCCCCTGGAATTCATGTTTAGAACCTTGTTCCCAAGGTTTGAAAAACATCCGATTGTTGTCTATTAATCGTATTTACCTGCTGGATTTTTTAATCCGGTGGACAGTCCATCTAGAAAGGCCCTCCTGGATGAAGTTACAGAATCATCAACCCATACTTTACTTGTAGTGTGTCCTGCGTTTACCCACGTTTCATCAATGTAATAAATCTTCCTGTTTTGATTTCTATATTTCCCAATTTTTGTTAAATAATCCCTCGTCCATAGCACAATTTCTTCTCTATCCAGTAGTAAACTATTACGACCCCGTTTTTTCCATTTGAAATTTAAATGCTTCAGTAACGCATGGAAAGTTGATCGTTTGAAATTTGGCAACGTTGTATCTCCATTTACCTCCTGCAGTACTTTATCTATAGTAGGTATTTCATTCCTAAAGAAGAATTCATGCACTTTCCTCCTAATCGCATGCTTATCAGCTTCATCCAATGATTTAACAATACTTTTGTGATGTTTACTGGTCATTGGCTCAGAAAAGGTGTGATTTTTTTTGTATTGTCTTAACACATTAAACACTGATGCGCGACACACCCAAACTTTGTGAGAAGCCTTCACAACAATTTCTTTGATGGTTGATGCCTCGTTCTCCTCGCGCTCGATCTTATATATATTCAAAATGACCTCTTTCATTTCTGCACTCAGATGTCTTTTTTTAGAGCGTTTCCTAGGTGGACTACAGGAGTTTACAACTTCATCGGCAGTATCTGTACTACTGGGCATTTTGCGCAAGCAGTTGATAACAATAACAATCAATAACAAGGTATAACAATAACAACGACAAACTCAACAACTTAATAAGATAACAAACGAAAACGTCCAAAGAAATATCAAATTGCAATGATGCACACGACATACGTAACACGTCTGAACCTGAATGTGACTCTGCCTTGATACGACTGCTCTGCCGCTCGGCATAGGCATTTAATTGCGAATTGACCAATGAGGGCTCCTGTTTTACGTCGAGACGGCGGCGTTAGGGTGAAAATCACCCGAACCTTTTGTTTACATCCGGTCTATCTCTTATCAGAATATACTGTAGTAACGCTCCCCAGCTGCTCTATAGTGTGTCAACCCTATTTCAAGAAATTCGTACAAAAGCAAGTCTAAGGCGGTTAAAACTGGTGATCTTGGCAGCCAGATGACATTGCATAACGAGAGCGTGAGATTTCCTGGAAATGTTCCTTGCAAAATATTTATTGTTTCTCTAGATATGTGATACGTTGCAGATCTGGAACCACATACCTTGCAAGTTGAATGTCGAGCCATAAAACTTTGCATCACATCGCCGTAACACTATTCGCTCTCAGTAAGGGATGGTAAGGTCACCAGATTTAACAATCTCAGACTTATTTGTGGCGATATCGAAAAATAAGACCTATGCTAGAAAGGTAGGCACAACAGAGGAGCTGGAGCTAAAAATGTATGGAGAATGTGTTCAAGGGGACTCAGGTTTGTTCATGAGAGATTAAGATGAAACATAGATCTGTTCCCTTCGAGCATAGGGATATTGGATAGAAATAAATGTATTGAGTCAGTGTATCTATTAAACAGGATAAAGATAAGAACGAAGAAGATTCCACTGGCGCAAAAGTGAAGAAGCAGTTGAACAAGTTCCAGGCATTCTTCAGATCGTGTTGCGAATGTTTTTACTTGCGTGAGACGGATCTGCTGCGGAACATACAACAAAAACTGGATGTAATAGGTAAATATTGTTTCAAATTCCTCATTCCTCATCATTGGGATCTCGGAAACGGTAAGAGATACGTAGTCGCTTAAGTTGGGGAAAAAGCTGCTTATTTAGGGATTTAATAAAATGCTGCTTAGAGAGATCCCAAGATCGTCTCAACTATATTTGTAGTGGAATTCCCAGATAAAGTGCACATTGACTTTGTTACTTTTACAAGCTTGGCTTGTATGTAATCTGTGAGCATAATTTTCACCCATTTCTAGAAGTTTGAATATTCTGAAACTTTCCACACATTTGAAGGACCGACGACATTGCAATAATTTGATAACAGTTCTCCATGTCCATAAAAAACTAATTAATAAATCAAACTAAAAGATGAAAAATAAACAATAGTTTGAAAAACAAAAAAAAACAAAACGCTTTTATAGCTAACCGAACAGAAAATTAGTAAATAATTTTTAATTACAAAGAGTTTATGTTACAGTAGCAGATGGTAGAACCATGAATCATAACTAATGACCTCAACATGAAATTATAATAAAATTTAAGTCATTAACAGAATAATTCAATTCAGAATGGAAAGCGTGTGGTGCATTTTACTTCGTTTTCATAACTCTCCTGTCAAAGATAGTTGCCAATAGAATAATTGTAACATCTATACTAAGTGACATAAATCCGAACACCCAGTTTAAATGGTTTTGTTTTAATAAAATTTTGTATAAGTACTTAATGAAGCATAATAAGTAAATGATAAAAATTTCAAAATGATTGCACTGCTTTAAAGCCCTTTGACCTTTAATAATGTGTGGATGCACCCTGATGTGCTACGCATTCTCCAACGCGCCTAGGCATGCTTCTGATCAGGTGGTCAATGTCCTCCTGTGGTATCTCATTCCAGGCAACCACCAACTCCTCTCGAAGTGCTTCTAGAGTCTGAGGAGGACGTTGCAAATTGAGCAACCTCCTACCCATCATATCCCACACGTGATCAATTGGGGATAAGTCGGGAGATCTTGGTGGCCATGGTAACAATGTGACATCATTATGTTGAAAGAAGTCTATTGTGACTCTTGCAACATGTGGTCGGGCATTATCTTGTTGGAAAGTTGGATCTGCCAAGGTGTCAAGATAGGGTTAAAGATGGGGTTGTAGAACTTCGTGGATATAACGCTGAGCGTTCATGTTACCTCTGATGAAGATTAAAGGTGACCTGGAACCATAAGCTATAGCACCCCAAACCATAACTCCAACAGTGTGATGAACATGTCTTTCAACAAAAAACTGTGGATTCCTCCTTTCACCACGTCGCCTTCTAACCCTGGCACGACCATCGTGCATGCCTAAACAAAATCGAGACTCGTCACTAAAGACAATACTGTTCCATTCCTGATCCCAGAGTGACCGTTGTATGCACCACTCAAGGCGATTACGTCGGTGTTCTCGAGTTAAAGGGAGGACCTAGTGTGGCCGGAATGAAAACAAGCCAAAACTTCTCATTCGTCGGTAAACACTTCGCATGCCAATAGGTCTTCCGTGTTCTGCAAACCATTCATTTGCAATGGACCTGGTAGTGGAGAAACGGTCCCTTAAGGCCAATAATCTTAGGCGGCGATCTTCACGGTCTGTTGTTCTACGGCGGCGTCCAGCGCCCCTTGCTCTTTGCGTACGGCCTTCTCGGAACCATGCCTGACAACACCTAACCACAGTATCTGCACTTCTTTGCACTCTAACTGCAATTGCCCGAAAAGAGGCCAGCTTCCCGAAGTCCCACTATAGGCCCCTATCAAACTCACTAAGTTGACGAAATCGCACAGGTCTCCGTACTCTAGGCATCGTAACCGATCGTAAAGGATGTCAAGAACCAAAATCCGCCAACGTTGATTCTTTACTGCGGCTGAAATATTCATTTTTAGAGCGTTAGTGAATTAAAAAAAAGCAGTATAAAAACCGGAATGTCCAACTGATAAGGCTGACAATTTTTTCACTTGTTATTTACAGTAAGATAAATACATTCACCAACTTTTATTAAAATAAAACCATTTAAACTAGGTGTTCGGATTTATATGTCACTTAGTATAATATATCAAGCATCCCACGCTTTTTACTCTGGGTTGAATTACTCTGTTAACAACTTAAACTTTGTTATAATTTTATTTTGAAACCGACTGTACGACCATCTACTACTGTAATATAAACTCCTTGTAATTAAACATTATTTCCTACTTTAGTTTTTTTAGTTTTTTAAACTATTATTTTTTCCTGTACAAGTTGACACAAATAGAATTTCAGTATAACGCTTTATCTCTTGACCTTCAGCATCGGCTTAATGTTTTCTAATAAACGCCATATTGGATTTTTGCATAGATGAGTAGAGATTTTAATCAGAATTCAAAAAATATTTCCGAACCTCGGTTACTCCAAAAAGATAGAGTTTCCTAGGTAGGCTCTGAAATTATCAGATACGAGGGATGTCTTTTAAGTTTTGCATATAGAAATATAGTAGTCCGCGCGGATCGAACGTCAGTACTGAATCTTAACATCACTCTTTAGTAAACTTAAGTTCAAACTTTACATGAAGAACTAGGAGTAAGAAAATTAGTTTCACGGCCACTTGATAGATCCCTCGTAGCGTGAAGCTCATAGTCGAGCCTGTACTTTCACTCTTGCAAGCACCATATTCATCCATACCTGATACTTGACGCTCTCATGAGATTGTAACTTAATCACTGCATGTGGCTGTGTTGACAGAACGTAATCAGTACAACCTAGACACTACTGTTGAGCTGAGGCGACCGACCAAAAGGCCTTCGACGATACCAGAAGGACAAAAATCATCCAGAGCTTCATTGAAAGGTTCGAGTCCTCCAACGAGAATGAGTTCGAGTAATTTCAAGGAAGATGGCGAAGACGGTAGCTCCGAATACGCTGCGTCTGTAGTGAACATACCGGAGGATAGTTGGATGGACCAGTTCGAGGGGGCAGGCGTTGAAACGCTGGTGCTTGAGAAGAAAGAGGACGAGTTTTGGAAGGACCTGATCAAGGAGTATTTGTCTCCGATAGATGCAAATACTGCAAAGCAGGTGAGAGATTTCTATTGAGTTGAACGACAACGTTATATGCGTTCTACCAGCTTTTATTCAACATGATCTCTTTGCTAGTATGTATGTGTGCAACAAATCTTGAAACTCAATTTTGAACCAGATAATCTTAGCAAATCGCACTGAAGGCTTCCAAGTTTGGTTCGCACAAAATTAATTGGATTTCGCCATTTTGTATTCAATATGGTCAACGCTACAAAATGTCAATTCATTCAATTTATCATCTCCATAGTCAACCCTATGATTAGGGTCTCAAGGAAAAAACACAAGCAATTTGGGGACTGCCGCAAAATAGCGATAATGTATCATCCATTTAAATAATGACTATCATAACGTTTACACCCTGTATATCAAAACATCAGGCTCATAACATATGGAATTTGACTATCGATCAATTTTAAAGAAAATTCGTATGGCGATAGGTTATGTTGTGCAATGGGCGTAAAGCCCTAGAGATATACTAAGTGACATGTAAATCCGAACACCCAGTTTAAAAGGTTTTATTTTAATAAAAGTTGGTGAATGTATTTATCTTACTGTAAATAACAAGTGAAACAATTTTCAGCCTTATCAGTTGGACATTCCGGTTTTGATACTGCTTTTTTTCAATTCACTAACGCTCTAAAAATGAATATTTCAGCCGCAGTAAAGAATCAACGTTGGCGGATTTTGGTTCTTGACATCCTTTACGATCGGTTACGATGCCTAGAGTACGGAGACCTGTACGATTTCGTCAACTTAGTGAGTTTGATAGGGGCCGTATAGTTGGACTTCGGGAAGCTGGACTTTCTTTTCGAGCAATTGCAGTTAGAGTGCAAAGAAGTGTAGACACTGTGGTTAGGTGTTGTCAGGCATGGCTTCGAGAAGGCCGTACGCAAAGAGCAAGAACAACAGACCGTGAAGATCGCCGCCTAAGATTATTGGCTTTAAGGGACCGTTTCTCCAATACCAGATCCATTGCAAATGAATGGTTTGCAGAACACGGAAGACCTATTGGCATGCGAAGTGTTTACCGACGAATGAGAAGTTTTGGCTTGTTTTCATATCGGCCACACTGGGTCCTCCCTAACTCGAGAACCCCGACGTAATCGCCTTGAGTGGTGCAGACAACGGTCACTCTGGGATCAGGAATGGAACAGTATTGTCTTTAGTGACGAGTCTCGATTTTGTTTAGGCATGCACGATGGTCGTGTTGAAAGACATGTTCATCATACTGTTGGAGTTATGGTTTGGGGTGCTATAGCTTATGGTTCCTGGTCACCTTTAATCTTCATCAGAGGCAACAGAGTTATATCCACGAAGTTCTAGAACCCCATCTTTTACCCTATCTTGACACCCAGGCAGATCCAACTTTCCAACAAGATAATGCCCGACCACATGTTGCAAGAGTCACAATAGACTTCTTTCAACATAATGATGTCACATTGTTACCATGGCCACCAAGATCTCCCGACTTATCCCCAATTGAGCACGTGTGGGATATGATGGGTAGGCGATTGCTCAATTTGCAACGTCCTCCTCAGACTCTAGAAGCACTTCTAGAGGAGTTGGTGGTTGCCTGGAATGAGATACCACAGGAGGACATTGACCACCCGATCAGAAGCATGCCTAGGCGCGTTGGAGAATGCGTAGCACATCAGGGTGCATCCACACATTATTAAAGGTCAAAGGGCTTTAAAGCAGTGCAATCATTTTGAAATTTTTATCATTTACTTATTATGCTTCATTAAGTACTTATACAAAATTTTATTAAAATAAAACCATTTAAACTGGGTGTTCGGATTTATATGTCACAGTATATATTCTGTTGGAGATACAGGGTGTTAACTTTTGATGCTTTAGCTTCTGTGGGGACGTCTGCCTTCACGATGTTACGTAAACCAGCTCGTCTTCAATGTACTCAACGATATGATAAAAATCGTATACATAAATAAAAACACATACAGTGTGGTACAATTCCGGTGCCCAAAAAGTTGTTTTCAATGAAACACACTCTATTTTGCTACATTTTTGGAAATACCTATAGAAAACAAGAAGATTCACATCGCATACTGTAGGATTTAGATCGTCATATGTTCAGTTAGTTTGCGATTTGTGGTGATTCAGTCAAAAATTTCAATTGGAAAACCTTGCATATTTTACTTCATCAGGTTTTCTCATAAGCTTCCTTTTGATACTAAATCTGTAGTAGCCTATTCGAACGGGTATTTAGTTTTCAATTTACTTTTTCATACTCGTTCCCAGCTACGCAAAATGACAGGAGTCAAAGCCTTCAAAGACCATCTTTTCAGACAAATGACAAAATCACTAAGCAAATGACGATCAATATCTTATATCACTCTCCCTGTTCTCAAAAAATCTTTCCAAATACAACCTGTACATTTCCAAATAATGCCTAAATACCCACCTATAAGATGTCAATCTTGATGCGCAAACCGTTTCCGAATATCCTTGATATTATTTCTTATTAAACTACTTTCATTTTCGTTGGGACACCCTGCATATATTGTTCGTGCTTGCGAGATTCTTATAATTTCGTTATGTCTTCAACAGACGAAATAGTTTTCATAAAATGGTGCATGCAGGCGTACCCATAGAAGGTTGGGTACTGCCTTTTGCAAAAAGCTAGTCATTAGCATCTTGAAATCAGACTGCTTTTGCTTAAAAGACAGATTCTATGAACTTTTCGATCAGACGAATCTCTTTATAGTTATTGAAAACACTGATCAAATTGACACCTCTTAAACAAAAAAACTCCAACAACCAACTTTTAGTCAGATTTTGGCAGCCCAAGGTAGTCATTCAAGACGGTGGACCTGGCAGCGCCATCTATTGGAGAGTAGCCGAATCAAAAATATATTCTTCTGTGGGTAAATTCAGTTTATTTACGTATACCTATGTTAGTTTCAGTTATATTTGTAGGTTCCGTGAATAAACTTATTATTATTATTATTATTATTATTATTATTTATTATTATTATTATATCATTTCGTTTTGCCCTTTGGCCTTCCTAATAGCAATCTGTAACATCCTGTGATTGTCTAAAACCTGAACTGGGCTGAATTTTAATAATACTTTCACACTTCCAGAAAAAAATTGGAAAAGACCTGAAAGATCTCAGGGACAAAACGGTCATGTCTTTCTTCATGCTGAACTCGCTCTTCGTTTTAACCGTATTCATGTTGACGATACAAAAGAATGTGCTGCACATAGACTGGCCGTTCAACCCGAAGGTGAATTTTACGTATCGACGAGATACGAACGAGGTATGTACCAATCAGCTGATCTTTAGCTTTACACGTGATATCGAGGTGTTTTATTTTTCCGAAGTTTCACATAACCTTGCTAGACACCTGAGTCTCAGTGACACGAGTACAATAGATGCGTACACTCGTCAAGATTGGATAATATTCAGAGGTTTTAAATATCGTTCGCTATTATCTGGTGCTCGGCCAAAGCATTGGGAAAAAATGCGTCGTAGAAAACACAAATAATAATAATGTTTATTGGTTAAACTGTAATATGTAATATAAATAATGCATGAGAATATACCAATAAACATGAAATACTCAAAAACGTTTGAACTTGTGGTTGGGGTTGAGATGTAATAAATTAAACTTGAAATATTTAAAAATAGAAAAGTTTTTTTGTTAAAGGTATGAATTAACATAATATCTTTTATTTATTTTATACATAATTGCCCAACAGAACTATTCCAAATATAATAGTATCTTTACTTATAATACATACATATAATGTATACATAAAACTAATTTAAAAACAGAATTAGCTATTATAATAGTACCTGAAATTCGACAAGATCTTATTAAAACAATCAAAATTAATGTCAGAACTGTTTGCTATGGAATTATAATTGTTGCATATAGAATGTAGCGGAGAATAAAATAATACATTGGTACGGGGGATTCACACCTTAGTGAAGCGGCTAGGTTATTTATGAAGAATAAAAACAGCAACGGTCCTAGGTTTGAACCTTGCGGTACTCCAGAGGGAACAGTATAATTAGCTCAAGATTAACCATTATAATAAGCATATTGCGTCCTATATAGATAATAAAGGTATGAGCTTAGAAGACCGACTAACGAGTCAATAAGGCCGAAATAATAAAGGCTATCAACAAGAAGATGATGCTTTGATTTGTGATAATAATCATTTAGTCAGACATTTTTATGCCAATGAGTTTATGTATAAATAGTCTGACTTAGAATTTAGGACTGTAATCAAATTTTGATATGTTTTTTCGACTGTACATGTTTTAAATTTGATGGATTAATATTATAAAAATTTGAACACAAAAAACAGGTGATCGTTGACTCAAATTTTTCTTCAATCTGGGTATAGTTGCTGGTGTGTTATTTTGGGTATTTTGAATTGTAGAAATAAAGTTGCCTGGTGCCCAAAATTTGTGATCCACCATCATTGGATATTACTTATTTTTTAATCATAATTTGTAATATCCGCTTCTGAGCAATTTTTGGAATAAAGTACCTTAATTTTTTGTTCAAGTTTCCAACATGAATATTCCATTTTACATTATTATCGATGTTTATCCCTAACTATTTGATATTATTTACTCATTGTACAAATGTGCAACCATTTGGTGTATGAATTTGGAAATTATTTGACGATAAGATAAGAACAAAACTTTATGAAGTATGACAAATTGGTTAAGGCTTTCGCGGCCAGTTGATAAACTTATGAAGTATGTTTTGTTAAAATTGACTGTGAAAGTTATTTCCATGAAAAAATTCATTATCCTTTTGGGAATCCAATTTGTTTTTGTTCTTTGAAGATCCCAATCATTATCTAAACGCATAATAGCCTTGTGATCTGCATAACTCATGATTTTTCCATCATTATTCAATTAAAAGGATCATTAACAGATTTATTATATGAAACTGGTCCCAACACAGTTCCTTGTGGAACTCCATGCCTAACTGTTATATACTAAGTGACATATAAATCCGAACAACCAGTTTAAATGGTTTTATTTTAATAAAATTTTACGAATGCATTTATCTTACTGTAAATAACAAGTGAAAAACTACTCAGCCTTATCAGTTGGACATTCCGGTTTTTATACTGCTATTTTTATTCACTAACGCTCTAAAAATGTACATTTCAGCCGCAGTAAAGAATCAACGTTGGCGGATTTTGGTTCTTGACATCCTTTACGATCGGTTACGATGCCTGGAGCACGGAGACCAGTACGATTTCGTCAACTTAGTGAGTTTGATAGGGGCCGTATAGTGGGACTTCGGGAGGCTGGACTTTCTTTTCGGGCAATTGCAGTTAGAGTGAAAAGAAGTGTTAGGTGTTGTCAGGCATGGCTTCGAGAAGGCCGTACGCAAAGAGCAAGGGGCACTGGACGCCGCCGTAGAACAACAGACCGTGAAGATCGCCGCCTAAGATTATTGGCCTTAAGGGACCGTTTCTCCACTACCAGGTCCATTGCAAATGAATGGTTTGCAGAACACGGAAGACCTATTGGCGTGCGAAGTGTTTACCGACGAATGAGAAGTTTTGGCTTGTTTTCATACCGGCCACACTGGGTCCTCCCTTTAACTCGAGAACACCGACGTAATCGCCCTGAGTGGTGCAGACAACGGTCACTCTGGGATCAGGAATGGAACAGTATTGTCTTTAGTGACGAGTCTCGATTTTGTTTAGGCGTGCACGATGGTCGTGCCAGGGTTAGAAGGCGACGTGGTGAAAGGAGGAATCCACAGTTTTTTGTTGAAAGACATGTTCATCACACTGTTGGAGTTATGGTTTGCGGTGCTATAGCTTATGGTTTCAGGTCACCTTTAATCTTCATCAGAGGTAACATGAACGCGCAGCGTTATATCCACGAAGTTCTAGAGCCCCATCTTTTACCCTATTTTGACATCCTGGCAGATACAGCTTGGCCACCAAGATCTCCCGACTTATCCCCAATTGAGCACGTGTGGGATATGATGGGTACGAGATTGCTCAATTTGCAATGTCCTCCTCAGACTCTAGAAGCACTTCGAGAGGAGTTGGTGGTTGCCTGGAATGAGATACCACAGGAGGACTTTGACCACCTGATCAGAAGCATGCCTAGGCGCGTTGGAGAGTGCGTAGCACATCAGGGTGCATCCACACATTATTAAAGGTCAAAGGGCATTAAATCAGTGCGATCATTTTGAAATTTCTATCATTTACTTATTATGCTTCATTAAGTAGTTATACAAAATTTTATTAAAATAAAACCGTTTAAACTGGGTGTTCGGATTTATATGTCACTTAGTATATCTTCACTCAGAGGGTTTTTGATATCTCTTAATCCTAGTATTTAGAATAATTCGTATTTTACGTTTGCAACTTCTAGTTTTCTCAACAAATTCCATGAATTCCTCTTTCAAGAAAGCAATCAGACCGCGCAATCCAATGCAATCTTCTCGAAGTTTGTTAGACATATTTTTAAATTACAGAAACCCGGAAGGCGAGCAAGGTCCATCAAAATCTCACATTTCATTTTTTCCTACAAGGTTCGTTCCAGTCTGTCCAATATAGGGTTGTAAATGATAGCCAATAGCGCAAAATGTTCAGATGAAGGTCATCGCCTTACACATTTCTTAACATGCATCTTAGCTACTAAGTGAGATACAGAACCTTCTGGGTTTTGAAAATTTGATCAGTTAATCTCACATACAGTATCAACAAAAAACTCATTGTTCAATCAAGCTATTTCTAAGCTTACATTAGATGTTAATTTTCTTATAGTTTACAATCCACCAAGACTTCCTGCAATTAGAGCCAATCGGGTTCATCTTCCTGATATTCTTCTTCATGTTGATGGGCATCCAATTCTTCGGTATGATCCAGCACCGGTTCGGCACCTACTGTCACATTATGGCCAGCACTTACCTGAACTTGATTCCAACAAGACGTCGTAAGGATCTTAAGGAGATGGGGAAGAACGAACTGAGAGACCCGAAGCTGTTCAAAAAGTTGATAAAGCTTCAAGGAATCAACGACGAAGAGAAGGACGCGGAGAAAAGCGTGGACGTCAAAGCGAGGAAAACTGCTGCTGTCCTTGCTATGAAGAAAGGGAAGAAGAAAAGACCGACTATTTACTATTTGGACGAAGCGTACCGGAAGCGGATGGAGAACTTCAAAGAAGGAAACTTTACGGGTCAGTAACAGCGTCTATCTTTGTCCTATACAAGTGCCGAGGTTTGTTCAAAAAGTATCGCAAATTTTGCGTATGTTCGATTTTCGATCATTTTTGGGCGTTATGTTGGTACTCACGACCCTCATGACAATATCGGCCATTTTGAATGTTCAGACAGTTTTTGACAGCTATTGTGCGTGGGCGTGTTTTAGCTGGTCTCCGATTTTTGTATATTCCAAAAATTTTGTGTAGAAAGCAACTTGAAGAGCGCGGACATATTCCAGATGTTGACTGTTGCATACGGCGAAGCCACTTTGGACAAAAGCAACGTTTATCGGTGGTACAAAATGTTCTCAGAGAGCCGAGAAGATGTGAGCGACGAAAAGCGTTCCGAACACCAGAGCACGTCAACAACAGACGAAAAAATTGATGAGTTCTTGCCGCAGTGCAGAACGGTCAATAAGAAATGTTGCCTTTAAGTAATGCGCAATTTGCGAGAAGCAATCCGCCAGAAACGCCCGGATCTGTGAAAGAACAAAAATTGGCTTTTGCACAATGATAACGCCCCTGCTCAGGCATCGTTACTTGTGGGCGAATTTTTGGCCCAAAACAACACTCCAATAATGCCTCACCCACCGTATTCCCCAGACCTGGCACCCTGTGACTTTTTCTTGTTCCCGAAACTGAAGAGACCCATGAAAGGACGACGCTACGCGACGATTGAGGAGATAAAGATGGCATCGAACAAGATCACAAAAAATGATTTTTCAAAATGCTTCGAGGATTGGAAAAAACGTTATTACAAGTGTATAATGTCTGATAGGATTACTTTGAACGGAGCAAAATAGATATCCATGACTAAAGAAATAATTCTTGAAAGAACATGAAATTCGCGATACTTTTGGAACAAACCTCGTACAATGAGTTGTACCAGATATGCAGGGCGTACATAAGGCAGAAAAGTGTGAATCTTCGGTCTATTTGGAACTTCATTTTGTTGGATTATACAGTTTCGGTCACAAGAATGTTCAACAAAGACCAAATTCCAAATCAAAGCGATATTTCGGAAATCCACAAGAAAACAAAATAGCCTCAAGATGGTCTTCAAAATCGCTCCTTGTAGTTGTACCTCATGTTTTAGAAACCCCCTATAGATTACAAGCATTTCTAAAAAGTGATTTTGTTATGAGTAGATGTGCTATACAGGGTGATTCATAAGTCGTGACCAAAAATAAAACATCATACACAGGACCACATTTCAAGGGGGGTCTCCGGTGTAACATTTTTTTCTCGAGCGCATCATTTAAAAGCAATTTTGAAAAATAATAATTTTTTTTAATTTTAATTAAATATATCTGTGACCATTTTTTAGAGGGTTGCCTAATACAAAGTATGTTCAAAAACTTATTTCATTTGATAAAATGTTATTTTCATCTGGTTGACACACCAGTGGAAGACGATTTTATTCCGGATCTTAGACTATACGAATGTGGTACCAGCACGACGGGCCCCACCACATGCTCGTCGTGACATAACCGCATGATTAAGTAATCATTTCAGACAACGACGGATTGGCAGAAACGGACCCGTACATTGGCCTGCGAGGTCTTCTGATTTTAACCCCCTGGATTTCTTTTTGTGGAGCGCCTTTAAACGGCTTGAACAAATTAATACTGTTGAACAGTTATAAGAAAAAAAGGTAATGCGTTTCGTCAAATCTATGCTACAACAAATTTTGCAAAAATACGGTTTTTTTCATTAAAAAGATGCCGCACTTGTATCCGTCAGAACGGTGATCTTTTTGAACATCTATTGAATTCGATTATCTAATTTGTTTAATTTTATTTTTAAGAAAACAATGCACTCTAGGAAAAAGCACAGAAGTAGTCATTGGTAGCAAAAGGTAAAGTTCGAAAAATTGCGCGTTTCTAAAAAAAGCTATTGCGTACTATTTTTTTTTTAAATAATTCCACTAATCCCGCCAATGGTTCACGTTCATTTTGAGAAAGTACTTTTGGATGTGGACAATACTTAGGTAAATCCACATACCAGATTTGCGGTCCTGTGTATGATGTTTAATTTTTGGTCACGACTTGTGGATCACCGTGTATATCTAGGGATCAATAAATAACTTAAGATACTTAATCGCATACTCATCATGTTTTTCCTTAACGCGATTTTTCAGAGGACATCGGTGTGAATCGGAAGACTCTGCACAATCTGGTAGGCCAGCAGTCATCACAAACTACAAATCATAGAAATGAGACGGCAACTTCAGCTCTTCAAGAACATACCGTGTTATAATGTATAACTTGCGTCTCATGTAACTTATTCCTATTTATTGATTATAAATTTTACTGTACATAAAATGTGAGCTAGCCGCTTTTTCATTTTTCTTTTCGATCCCTCATCATATACAGGGTGACTTCGAAGATGAGTCATTTATTTTAACAGTGAGTAGATCAGATCAAAAGAAATGTTTTTTTCCTTTAACATTTTTGTGGTAAAATTAAAGTAACAAAGTTATAGCCCTTTAGAAGTTTGAGTACCGCCCTGTCTCAATAATAATATTATGTGCTCGTGTTTGGCAACAACGGATATAATCCGCCTTATCGATTCATCCCATCGGAAACAAAAAAGCGAAAGAATTTGAAACGCTGATCACGATGTTTTTATTCAGTCGAAGTGTCAGTCGGTAACGCGTGAGTGAATAGTGGTGTTTGCTGCGTGGCTCAAACGAAATAAAAAATGGCACATGTTTATGCGGATCGGTTTCCCAATCGAGTGCAACCGGTAACCCAATCGTGCCTTTGTTAATGTAGTACAACGGGCTCGTGAATCAGGTGACTTAAGACCTCACAGGAGAGAGCATGCCGGTGCTCCAAGACCTCACGATCAAATACAGGTCCGCACTGAAATACTTGTTGGGAGGATACTTTATAAAACAAGGGAAAAATTTTTTTTTTTATTTTTTTTTGCACACATATTTTGGTTTATCTTCCTTCTACAATCATTATCTGAAAATTAATGACTCAACTTCAAAGTCACCCTGTACAGGATGTCCGAGATAAAGATCCTATGCATGGAAATCTCACGATGGAGGGGGTTGAGGGATTTGTAAAACCTTCATGACTTACTGAGATATTTTCCTTGAAAAGCAGGGTGCTATTCCATTAAAGCCCTTTATAAGAATAGATCAGTGGTCACTAACTCGTCGATACCGAGCTACCGGTAGCTCGCCAACATATTTTAACAACGTGTACAAATCATAGGAGCTACCGTAAATTTTGTAAACTCTCATGATAAACACAAGCAGCGACAACACTGCGGTAAGCGATCTGTTCGAGAACGATCTCGATTACTCTCGGAATAAGTACGGAACGCGCGGCGACAGTGCGCTCAGTTTAAAACCGAACGGCGTAAAGTCCAGCGGTTGGGTTAGAATTGGCCTGCATTTAAAGACATTATGAGCAGCAGTAAAAAGATGAAGACATACGATTTCCATTCAGAAGTTAAAGGTGAAGATGTATGTTTGTTATTTAGTATGTAATCTGCTTCCGTTGCTAAAACCGGGAATATCTAGAGGCACTATAAAACTGTAAGTACATTCGAGTTTTGAAAAATCTTTCCCATTACGATCTGCAACCCGAACGGAAAAAATGTACGATTTAAAAATCAAAGTACAGAACATTGAAGTTGTTCAATATCAGTGGCGGTACGTCAATCTGGAAATAAGGATACACAAAACTTACAAACTCTATATTTATTACAGACCTCCAAGTAGAAGAGTCAATCGATTTATTGAATTTTTTGAAAGTATATGTGAAAAACAGGAATTGCACAAATGTACATTTAGGAGACTTCAATATGAATTTTCACAGTAAGATTTCTATGTCACAAAATTTTAAAAGTACTAAACTCACATGGATTATGGCAGAAAATAAATGACTATATGAGGATTACGAGCTTTTCGAAAACAAAAATAGATTTGCTCATAACTAACGAACAAAATATAATTGCTAAAGTTAAGCATACCCCAAAAATAAGTGATCACTCACGGATATATTTCGAAGTGGGAAATATGTTCAATGAAAATAAAATGAAAGAAATTACAGTCATTGAATACACAAAATTACGACAAACACTTTTACAACATAATGTACCTGAAGTTATCGATAATGCCGACAACTACTTCGAAGAAATTATTAATAATATGGATAAATATACTAGTGAAGCTATGGTCAAGAAAATAATATATGAAAGAGTGAAACCAACACCCTGGTTTTCACAGATATTCAAGGAGTCTAAATTAAAACGCGATAAAGACTACAGAGAATTTTCAGTAACCCAAAGTAAAAATGATTGGAAACAATATCCAAAATCAAGAAATGAGTGTGTAGCAGTTCTCAGCAGGAAAAAGAAAAAATACTATGATAAGAAGATCGATAGCAATAAAAATAGTCCTGAAATGATGTGGAAAACATTAAAGAATATTGTTTCTCCTAACAGAAAGACTGATTTATCGAAAATGCGTTTCGAAGATGGGGTAGTGACAGATAAATTAATTATAGCAGAAAGAGTGAACACTTACAGAAAGTGTAAATCAAGGCGCGAAGACGATTGATGACGGTGATCCAAACAAGTCCATTACAAGTATGTCAGAATTCATCAATGAAGCAATTTAGGACAATTAACATCAACAATCTAAGAGAAACTATCTCAAAATTGATATCTAATGAAAATCCAAGTGAGAATCTCTCAAAAAATATTCTGAATGATTGTTTCAATATAATTGGAGAGAAATTATTATTATCGGTGAATCATTGTTCAGTACATGGTGAATTCCCATCAAAATTAAAGTCTTCCACCATTACTCCTGTGCCAAAAGTTCAAAATTTTCAGCTGTATACAAATATGCGACCGATTAATGTCTTTCCCGATGTCGAGACGCTGTTTGAAGGGATAATATACGAACAAATCATAGAATTCATTGAAAAAACCGAAATTTTTATAAGAAATCAAGCTGGATTTAAAAAAAAAATGTTCCACAGAAACGGCAATCCAAATGGTGGTGGAAGACTGAAGAAGAAGTATAGATGAGAAAGAATATATTGTGACAATATTTTTGGACTTTAGAAGGGCATTTGAGACTATAGAGAGGGAAAAATTGTTAATGAAATTGCGTCACTATGGATTTAAAGGATCAGTATTACAAATTCTACAAAATGATTTATTATAATTATATCATTTATATAAATGATATCTCTTGCATATTAGAATACTGCAAAATTGAAATATTTTCGGACGATATATATATATACAGGGTGACTTTGAAGTTGAGTCATTAATTTTCAGATAATGATTGTAGAAGGAAGATAAACCAGAATATGTGTGTAAAAATAAAAAAAAATTAAAAAAAAAATCTACCTTGTTTTATAAAGTATCCTCCCGACAAGTATTTCAGTGCGGACCTGTATTTGATCGTGAGGTCCCCTGTGAGATCATAAGTCACCTGATTCACGAGCCCGTTGTACTACATTAACAAAGGCACGAGGGGTTGGTTGCACTCGATTGGGAAACCGATCCGCATAAACATGTGCCATTTTTTATTTCGTTTGAGCCACGCAACAGACACTATTCACACGCTAACCGAGAGACACTGACTGTATGTATAACTGAACTGAATAAAATACTTAATTGCAAAAACATCGTTCCAAATTCTTTCGCTTTTTTGTTTCCGATGCGATGAACCGGTAAGGCGGATTATATCCGTTGTTGCCAAATACGAGTACATGATATTATTATTGAGACAGGGCGGTACTCAAACTTCCAAAGGGCTATAACTTTGTTACTTTAATTTTACCAGAAAAATGGTAAAGGAAAAAAACATTTCTTTTGATCAGATCTACTCACTGTTAAAATAAATGACTCAACTTCGACTCTATAACTGGAGACGTGGTCATTGTCGTCTAGACCAGTTAGGTGAAAAATTAAAGCTTCCGCCTTTTGTTGGGTATTTCGACAAACATTTAAGCAAAGAGGACTCTTTATACTTTTTTTATTCTCTCTAGCTTTCAATGGACTTTGCTATCATCATCAGGAGCTGCAATTACATTGATAACAGTAGCAACAATAGTGTAAAATGAATTTAAATTAACTTGACTTACAGTAGTATATATATATATATATATAAGACAACTTACTCGTCGGTGAGGTTGCAGCCACAAGGTGTTTCAGAAAGAACGTAGAGAAGATCGAACTTGTGTTCAGTATAAAAACAAAAGGACGGGGACATTGGGCTTGTTAAAAAACGACAGATACCTTCGTTAAAAGTTAAGAAAAAATAAAAATTATATTAATAAACCCGAACAAGCTAAAAATATTACACGTGGGGAGACATTTTGTTGAAACAACCGGAATGCAGTCCCTAACCTTCTACTACCGCTACACGTGGAGAGGGGGAAAGGCACGGAACGGTAAAGCGTCGACAGAAGACAAGTGATTGACGCGACGGAACGTGGAAATGTACACCTCCCTGTCCAACTTTGGGTATGAACTATACGAGGGACGCTCGGTAAATCTCCACCCAAAATTACTAAAATGCTGGAATAACTTGTTTTTGAGTGCAAGAATGTGTGATATTGATACAACCTTGAAAAGATGGGTTATGTGAGTGAGAAAATGTATTCTAATTTTGTGAAGATGTTGGATCAATTTGGACATGTAGTCGTTCTAGCTTTTCGCAATTCAACAGGTAGGAATAAATGACACTGAGCTGCTTAACATCAGCCTTTTTATTCATGCAATGATCTGTCATGAAAATGTGGGACATTTCTAAAAATAGACGTTTTGAGAGTCTTTTTTCTTTATCAAGAAACTCAATAATAATAATAATAATAATAATATTTATTTACTCTAAAATACAGGGAACATGAAACGAGTAAATAAATATAATATATCCATAGGAGGACAACGCCTGTGCATGGATCATATGTATGTTGAATTGCAAAATATAATAAAATAGAGAGAAAAAAGAAATTATTGGTAAGAATGGTAGAGCATTTATTGTGTAATATTTGAGATTATTTTATTAATTTGATTTCTCCCAATTGTGTTAATAATTTTTTTTAATTTTTTTTTGAAGCCTAATGTATTGCGTAATTGTTTTAAATTATTTGGTAAATGTTCGTACAATTTTGGAGCTATATACAGGTGACATCGTTTCATTAGGGATTTGTTTGGTTTAGGAACATTTTTTGCGCGTAATTTATATCTGGTTTTATGATTATGTTTAATTATGTCGTGTTCACTAATAGTTTTGTGATAATGAGTGATGGTATGTAAGAAGTAAAGTTGTTTAGTATCATATACTTGTGCATCATTAT